AATGTCCACTAACAGATGACTGGATAAAGAAAATATGGTACATATACACAATGGAATATTATGCTGCTATAGAAAAGAATGAAATTCTGCCATTTGCAGAAAATAATGTTAAGTGAAATAAGCCAGGCACAGAAAGAGAAGTACTATATGTTCTCACCCATATGCAGGAGCTAAAAAAGAGAACAAAACAAAATAAAAAAACAACCAAATAATAATAAGTTGAGTTGTTCAATGGAGAAGGAAGAACTGTGGTTACTAGAGGTGAGAGGGGAGCGGGGTGGGAGCATGGTGAAAGGCTCGCTAAAGGACAAAAAATTATGGTTAGATAGGAAAAATAAGTCCTACTGATGTACAATAGACCCCAGAATCTGTAATTAACAAAGATTTATTGCACATTACCGAACTAGAAGAGAGGAGATCAAAAGTGCACATCTTAAAGAAATGATTGGGTTTTGCAAGCATGAGTATGCTGATTGCACTGAATGGATCATCACACATTGCATACATGTATTGAAATATAACTCTTGTATATACCCCATAAATATATACAATCAATATGTTTCAACAAAAAAATTTTAAAAATAAATAAAAGATAATATAAATCTTTCCATTAAAAAAAAATAAGAAATTAGGAAAAATTGGGTCTTTTCCATCACTATGCATAATTTTTTGCAATGTGATAAACAGATTGCCAATTAGAAATGAATTTTAATAATTATTCAATATAAAACCTATTAAAGAGCTTTTTAAATAAATTTAATTTTAAATATATTGGTATTCCCCTCTCCACCTTGATCTACAATCTTGACACAAAGCTACTTCAACATTTTCAGATGTTATTTTCAAGTATGTGGCTGGCCTTGCATTTATTTCACCTACTAGAAATTTAAATTTTGCTTCTCCATCCAAATGTCTTTGTAAATATTATTTTTTATGGTTTTTGTCTATTTTGCTAATATGAGAATAACATTACTAAACAGATCAATCTGGAAGAAAAAAATACCCATTTAATTTTGAATATTCACACTTTTAACATTACATGCTAAAATTTATCCTTTAAAAATTTCTTACATTATTTCTAATGGCTTATTTAATGGACATACCGGAAACTGTGAATGCCCTGAAGTTCCTGCTGTAGAACCTCTTGGGTTGTTGCTATCAAGTCCAATGCTCCAACAAATTCAGAAGTAGATAATAACACCTGTACTGTAGGCTGAGTCTGGTGTACAGTGGCCATTAACTTCAGTTTATTGTATACTTTAACACAATTATTTCTGGTAAGTGCCAGTCTTAAAATGTGTAGTGATCCTTCACACATTACTTTATCAATCTGTGCAATTTTATCTCGAAGCATTTTTACAGCCTGGGAAGTTTTCTTGAGGTAGTCCTGCAATTCATGTTGAGAGGTCATTGCATGGAAAAATGCTTCTGAACGTAGAGAGATCTGATGAGCAATGTTTACTTCCACAATATCCAGATAATGGCTCAGCTTAAAAGGGAAGGAAAAAAAATCATGGATAAATAAATATACTTTCCCTGACTATCCAAATACTTTCTAAAAACAAAAAGGATAAAATATTTCTACATATATTTTAAGTTCCATTTGTCAGTTGTTTGACTGTGAGGTTCTTGGAATTGAGCACAACAAAATGGAAGAAAGATGAAAAGTGCAGATAAACAGATTAAAAGGTAGATGAATAAACGTAAGACAAAAGAGTAGAAGGTGATTTACCTTCTTCCTCTGTTCCTGTCATTACTACTCTCCAAACACCAACTACTTCCTAAAAGATAAGAGTGCCCCACAGATATCTCAGATTATAATTTTAGTTTCAGAAGTTCTGAAACCAGGAGAGAGAATGATCTCCTTAAGCCCCCACCAACATCACACATCACTTATCTGTCTAAATAGATGATGATAATTTCTATTATGGCCTCCTCCTTCTATGTACTAGGTACATGTATTTTATATACATCAAATTTTTCTAATTTTAACAATCTCAGAATACAGGTACTATTATTCTCATTTTACAGATGAGGAATTTCAGAGACATTAAATAACTTGAGTAAGTCACATGGTTAGAAAGTGACAAAACTAAAATGTGAACCTAGGTCTTTCTGCCTCAAAAACTGAAGCTCTTTCTACTATACCATGCTGTCTCAAATGCTAAAGAATCCATGAAAGACAGATTGGTGGTTCAGTCACAAATTATAGAAAGTACTGGAATTCATTTAGATCATTTTTTTTCCCGAGGCTGCTTATATTTCAAAAGTGATTATTTTATCAATTTGTAAAATTCAGTTTATTTCCAACATATTTGTTTCTTAAAAGGTTGACAAATGCCTTAAACAATTAGCTCACATATATTTTATTTGTAATACTACCAAGATTATCTCAGGAGAATTCATAGTGTTAACATTTAGGACTCATNAGAATACAGGTACTATTATTCTCATTTTACAGATGAGGAATTTCAGAGACATTAAATAACTTGAGTAAGTCACATGGTTAGAAAGTGACAAAACTAAAATGTGAACCTAGGTCTTTCTGCCTCAAAAACTGAAGCTCTTTCTACTATACCATGCTGTCTCAAATGCTAAAGAATCCATGAAAGACAGATTGGTGGTTCAGTCACAAATTATAGAAAGTACTGGAATTCATTTAGATCATTTTTTTTCCCGAGGCTGCTTATATTTCAAAAGTGATTATTTTATCAATTTGTAAAATTCAGTTTATTTCCAACATATTTGTTTCTTAAAAGGTTGACAAATGCCTTAAACAATTAGCTCACATATATTTTATTTGTAATACTACCAAGATTAATTCTTATAGTAATAAATATTAAAGAATGCTACCTAAATTTCAAATATGGACTTCTAAAACTTGTCTTTTTTTCCTTTCCAACTGCATATGCCTTTTTCAGCTGCATTATCTGTTCATTTCCCTCCCATTTTTTTACTTTTAGATTTTTTAACTTATAGTTCAAAACTTTAGGCATTATCTCTGAATATCTCAGGAGAATTCATAGTGTTAACATTTAGGACTCGAGATTATTTGGTCATCAAGCCTGTTTCCTTAAAACCATACATTATCACTCATATCTTCAATAATGATCTCTGAATAATCTATTATATCTAATAGGTTACAAACAAGATTTTTTTCCATAGTTTAAGTCTCTTGGGTTTATGCCCTTTTGTTCTTGTTCTTTTCATCTTTAATACCGCTGTTCATTAATTTACCTGAAAAGCAACATGGGCACAAATGTGCTAAGATAGATTGCAAGCAAAAGTGGGCTTAATTCTCAGAATAGTAAATGCAGAATGGGTAACTCCTTTGGGACAGTGCTACTCAGAACACAGTTTATATGCTGCTGCCAATCTGTAGACTATTTAACAGGTTCATGATAAAATAAGGAATTTTGTGGGAAAGTGAATCAAGTATATCACTAAACACACTGCATTTTTTTTTTCATAGAAAGACTTTCTTAATGAAGGAAGCAGTACAATGAGTTGCATTCCAGGGCAAACATCTTATCTCATTGCAGACCAGCAGTTTGGATAGCACTACAATAGGATACAAATTTCTTTAATTCCAGTTGTAGCATCCCCTCTTGTTAAAGCTAGCAAGATAAGGCTGGCTGGTTAAGCCCGGTTCATGAGAGCATGCCTTTTAACACTAAGGTCAAGGGTTCAGTTCCCCTACTGGCCGGCTGCCAAAAAGAGACTCAAAAAACAAATAAAGCTAGCAAGATAAATCACTTGTTGCCATTATAAAGGTGGTTTAAAATTACTCTCTTGGAATCATGTCTTCCACTCCTATTCTATGAACAGAGCAGGAAAAAAAAAGTCAGAATGTAAATATAGCAAACCTGATTCTCCAACTTACAAATTTTTTTTTAAAAATCCGTTATTTTAGTCATTTTAAACATTCAGCATGAGAAAAGCATTTCATCTGAATTTAAAAGATTTTCAGTATTTATCAATATATAATTGATCTACTCTGTTCAAAGGCATAATATTTTCATAATTTATTTTCTATTAAAATGCTATGGGGGGGAGGGCTGGCTGGTTAACACGGTTGGTTAGAGCATGGTGTTATAACACCAAGGTCAAGGGCTCAGCTCTCTGTACTAGCCAGCTCCAAAAAAAAAAAAAAGCTATAACGAAAACAATTTTTAAAGGACTCCTGGAAGTATCTGTATAGGCTGACGAGATATTTATCGACTTTTTTTTTTTTAATTAGCTTTTTTTTTTTTTCTTTTTTCTAAGGTATTATTCTCCTAGGGCATATATGCAGAATGTGAGAAAGCTGTCTGGGAGGGAGCCTGTGTCCATAAATCCATCATTTTCATCAGGTTTATCAATTTACTGTTATGCAAGGAAAACCTTTTTATAGATGAAAGAAAAAGTGAGCTCATTTTCACTGTAAATTGTGATAAAAGGAATATTCATGATTGTTTCTCCATATTTCTTCGCCTTTCCTCCCCAAGCTAGTCTTTTCTTCAGTCACTGAGGAGGACTGAACCTAATGTACTGAATAGTCTTCCTCAGACAAGCTTTCAGATTGCCAAGGGATGTCACTAGAGTAAAACAAATGATTTCTTCTCATTTTAAGAACCATAGTCAGTTTTAGAAAAACTCTAAACTGAGTGCTGAGAAAGAACAGAGATCAAAGGTGTTTACTACCACTAAAGTTTTAGAAGATTCTTGATATGTAAGCTATGCTTAAAATTCTAAATTTCAAATGACTTTCAAGATGTTGACTTCTGAAATATAGAACATTTTAAAATGTAAAGAACTGACTAATAATATGCAAAACACTAGGCTTTACAAAGCTAAAAATACAATAGGAATATTGTATTTTTTTAACTAAGACATTTTTGCCTCAAAATAATCATTCCTACTATGTGAAAATGAGGAAAAACAGTACCTCAGGAAAACTTGGTTTTCTGTGCTTTAATTCATTCTTATAAAATTAGCCAATACAGTAGGTCCTCCTTCTCCATGGGGAATATATTTCAAGATCCCCAGTGGATGCCTGACTCTGCAGATAGTACTGAACCATGTATATACTATGTTTTTTCCTATACTTGACATACCTATGATAAACTTTAATCTATAAATTAGGCCCAGTAAGAGATTAACAACAATAACTAATAATAAAATAAAACAATTATAAAATATATTGTAATAAAAGTCTTGTGAACATGGTTTCTCTCTCTCTCAAAATATTTTATTGTACTGAACTCATCTATTTTCAGACTGTGGTTGACTGCGAGTAACAGAAACCTCAGAAGGTGGAACCATGGATAAAGATGATCGACTGTATATAACTGAACTATTTGGGATAAATGCAAACAATTCATTGTGCTCTCTAATATATCCTTTCCATTAAAATTCCCTCAACTGCTGTTTCAGATGAGAAGCACTCAAACAATAAGCTTTTCTGTTTTCATCAGCACAATTTGTATTCCATTAAACCAAAATGCTATTAGTTTATTAGTTAAGATTAGAAGGCTTATAATTATCAGTAAAAACAAAAATGAACTTAAAAGAAGTAGAGCTTACCTAATAACTAAATACAAACCCATGCAAACAGTACCACTTAACTAGAATAAAGTTTTCTACATGGAAAAAGTCAGAGAAATTACCTTTTCTTGAAGCAACTTTGAGGAAGCTGCATCACGATTTCCTTTTCCACCAGCAGTATTAAAATGAGACCATGGTAAAACTGAATTAAAAGTTAAGGAATCATCCAAGGCAAAATCTGGTTTCATAAAAATCTATTAAAAAATGCAATTCCTCAATTAGATAAACATTTTTTTTAACATCCATTATCATTTCTAACATCATAAGATTATTAAACAAAACTTAAATCTGGAGTATGAACAGCAAAAGCAAGTGACAAGTTGTCATTTACACAAAAACATATATAAGAAAGATACATAAACAATGTTTCATCAAACTCAAAATGCTCATAAAAGATGGAAAAATGTTTTTTGCCTTCACCAATGGAGATGTTCATTCCATTACCACACGATCAAACTCACTAATGCAGTCCCACCAGGCACATAGCAAAGGTAAATATCACACTTATCCTAAAATGTCCATATTATTTCCCACTGATAGTTTTTTTTAAATGCCAAATATCAACTTCTCTAACTTATATTTCTATTTTCTCCTGCTTAAAATTCTTTCAAAATTAATTTTTTTTTTACCTTAAACATATACTAAATTTTATTTTATTATTTTTGTTGTTGGTGGTGGTTGGCCAGTACAGGGATCAAACCCTGGACCTTGGTGTTATCAGCACACCAAATTTTAAAAACAAAACAAATTCAATTTTATGAAGAGACTGCACTACTCCTTTTTCCTTACACATCACATCCAGCTAGGAAATAAGAACTAGCTGTCATATTTCCTAAATATTCCTTGCATCCCCTCTCTCCTATCTCCACAGTATTCATAAGTTCAGCTCTTCATTATCTCTAGATTACAGTAAACAGTTACTTAATGATGTCCTTCCCTAATCTATCCTCTATATTGCTATCAGAGATACCCTTCTATAACGTCAAGTATAACTGTATTAACGTCCCTGTTTAAAACTCTCAATGGGTTCCCATGACCCACAGACCAAGCTATTTAGAATGGCATCCAAAACCCTTCATTTTTTTTTTTTTGTCTTTTTGTCTTTTTTCCGTGTCTGGCAACGGATCGCAACCCTCAG